ATGCGCAAAATACGTGAGATGAAGTCTCATCAACTTTACTTCTAAGGAGCATTCCGGCTGTACTTCATCCAAGACAGATTTGTTCATTCTTCTGGCAGTTCACGGCATATTCAACGTTCTTCACCAACATCATAATTCAAAGGCATCAATTCTTTGGTCTTTCTTATTCATTGTCCAGCTTTCACATGTGTATGTGGCAACTAAAAGGACCATGCCTGGGTCAAGCACCCCTTAGTCCTCAGAGTGGCATCTTTAAGGTTCCAGACACTGGGAGCATCCCAAGGACAAAATAAAGTCCACGCCTCTTACAGCTTCAATCTTGCCAGGGGAGCTGAGCAGGAAGCAAAAATGTGCATGGAACCTAGATACCGCTAGACCATGCAAACGCTCTGAGGGAAAGCCTGCAGGGAGGAGGAGGCCAGACATGCTGAGGTGGGGTGGGAGGAAACAGTGATGCTAATGAGGATGTTCCAAGAAGGTTCTGCTGACAAGGTACCAGGGAGCCGGGACCTAGGGAAGGGAAAGAGGACCAGGCAGAGGTCTGGGGGACAGTCTAGGCAGAAGAGGCAGATGTCCAAAGGGCCTGAGGCCAGAGGATCTGGTGCACACCAGGAGAGCTGACAGGGTGGTGTGGCTGAGGGAGTGACAAAGAAGAAAGTAGGGGATGACAGGAGGCAGGTCACTTGGGCTTTTCAGGCCTTGGAGGGCCTCGGCGTTACTAGGAGGGAACCAGGAAGTCGCTGGAGGACTCCAAGCAGACTGCTGGATCCGACTTGGGTGCTGCAAGCACCACTCCCTCTGCTGCCAGCTGGGTGGATGTGAAGTTGAGGGTGTGTGTGGGTGGACCCAACAGAGTGGGAGCTGACGGCGCTGGGGGGAGAGGAGGGGACTGCGGGACAAACCAGAGAAATGCTGTGCGGAAAGGAAAATGATACCCTGCACACGCCCGCTCCCCCTCATGTTAAAATGTCTGCGTGTGGAAACAAGAGAGGGAAGACAGAGAGAGAGCCGTCCACCAGCCGCTTGAGCAGGTTGCTTGTGACACGTTTTCAAGAAAGAAAAGCAAACTACAGAAAAAGATGGTGAAGAAATTATTTTGCTGAACACTGACTCCTGGGTAGACAGGTGAGGATAAGGCAGGTGCTGGGAAAGGACATGGCAGAGCTTTAGCGAGTGCTGGTCACCTCAGGGTGTGGCAGTGTGTCGGGGGGAAGGCAGGGACGAGCACCCGAGCCTTGACACACTTTCTACTGGTAACCGTCCAGCGTGATTTCAATTCAAGAAACAGCAATTTGAAAATGAGGGTGAAAAGGGGAGGACCAGAAAAAGAAAGACACTTGAGAAGGAAAGTAATTTCCAAGAATAACTTTCCCGCCTCCAGCTGACAACCTTCTGCTTCTAGTTGGGGATGAGAAAGAGATGACTGAGGTATCTTCACCTGCCCAGATCCTAACAACTGCCATCACCAGCCGCCCCAGCAAAGAGCTGGTCAGCTTCCACATGTAACAGAGCCCTACTTCCCAATTAATGGAAAAACCAAGATGGTTACAGTGTTGCCGTCTGTGTGCTAAGAAGGATCTGTATTTAAAGAAGCTTGTGTGCCTACCTGGTAACTCTGGAAGGAGGGAAACAGACAGGAAGCAGAGGGAAGAGCCTGAATTCTGAATTGTGAGTCACCAGCATGTTATTACCTGGGAATGCCAATCTTTTTTTATATACACAGAATAAACAGCATGAGTTGTTCAGTTGAAATGCAAGAGGAAAGGGATATGCTTCATCTTGACTATGTCTTCATGCAAAAAATTGTCTTAATTCTGTTCCAAGAAGACACAGCAAACAGAGGCAAGTCTGATTTCCTTTCGGACACTACTGGTTGCCTGCAACAGCTACAGGAGCAGCAGAGAAAAGGGTGGTGCTGCCTGCCAGCTGCCGCCGGGGCAGGAACGCAGCGCGCTTCCGGCAGCCCCGGCCCCGGCACAGACCGGAGGAGGACTCCTGGCCTCAGCAGGCGTCTCCCACGGCTGGGACCCTCAGGTTGCCATCTGCCATACAGCTGACTTTTCAGGGAAACAATTAGTGCAATTTGAGGGGGAGAAGAAGGAGGTGCTGAAATCCAAGCCCGTTTCTCCAGCAAGATGGGGCTCTGCTCCCAGGAGCCCCCGCAGCCCGCGTCCCATGAGCAAGCAGACATTTGTGTCAGGGCCTGCGTGTGCCAGCGTGGACCGCTGCGGCTCTGGAGAGGCAGCGGGCGAGGCTGGTGAGGCCTCCCGTCTGTGCAGCCTCCACTCTACTGGAGTAACTTCAGGGAGTGGCGACGCAGAGTCACATGAGGGCTGGCAACGCAGAGTAACTCTGGGGAGGCACGATGCCGGAGTAAGGTTAGGGGGCGGTGATGCTGGAGACTTTAGGTGATGAGGCCAGAGTAACTAGGTGGTGACGACGTGCAGTAACTTTAGGGGGTGACGATGTCGGAGTAGCTTTAGTGGTGACAATGTGGGGTAACTTCAGGGAGTGACAGTGCACAGTAACTTGAGGGGGTGACGATGCAGAGTAACTTTAGGTAGTGATAACTTCTGTGCAGGAAATAACCAGGGCGAAGGAACAGCAATCGGGGGCCTCACTGTAGTCTGGGTGGTGAGAGCCCTTCTGAAAATAACAGCTGACTGCACAAGCCAGCGCACTCAAGCGGTGGGAGGAGCCTTGCTAAGGCTGTGGGAGGAGCCGTGCTAAGGCTGTGGGAGGAGTCTTCCAGACCAAGGAACGTTCACAGTGCAAAGGCTCCTGTTGGCAGCGAAGGGCTCTGTTCAAGGAGAGAAGGCCTGTGCTGGGTGTGGGAGTGAGGAAGAGAGAGGCGGATGGCAGAGCCAGGCCCACATCTTGGTGGCACACGCTCCAGAGCTTTAGTGGGAGAAGAACATGGTCATATTAATCTTGTAAAAGACCCTTCTGCTTGCATATGAAGAATGACCAGCAGGAGGAAGACTAGAAGCCAGGAGACTTGTTAGGAGATTTTTGAAGTAACCTAATGAGTGAAGACTCAAGTGGTAACATTGAGACGCAGAGAGGTAGGCAAACTCAAAGCATATTTTGTAGGTAGAGATTATAAGACCTGCTGTGGAGTGAGGTGAAGGGGAAATCAAGGTGGTTCCTAGGGTTTTGGATGGAATTGTTATTTATGACAGCAAGTAAAACAAACCCGTTCCCATTGACTCGATTCCAACTCACAGCAACCCTAGAGGACAGAGTAGAAGTGCCCCACAGGATTTCTGAGGCTGTAATCTTCATGGAGGAAGACTGCTACATCCTGCCCCCACGGAGAAACTGGTGGGCGCAAACCACCGATCCTTCAGTTAGCAGCGGAGTGCTTCACTGCTGCACCACCGGGGCTCCTGACAGCCAGGAGTTACTGCTTTTCGAGGGCCTGTGTGTCAGGTGTTGTCCTGAGTACTGTTTACATGCACACACACAGTCACATGCATGCTCACTGAATCTGCACAAGATTCCAGTGAGGGAAGTACTATTCCTGCCCTCCTTCTACAGACCAGGAAACTGAGGCAGAGAGGAGTTCGGCTCTTGGGCATCCCCATGCAGTGGACATGGCTGACTGCAGTCCACGCTCAGTGCTGCCTCCTGAGGGCCTAGGAGGATGACGTGCTGCTCGCTGGCAGGAGGTCAGGCTGGGCTTGAAGGACAAGCTCTGGAAGGGGACAGTTTCAAGCCCCCTTCAGTGGCGCCATCAGTCAACAGGCGCCCTTTGCTCACACCATCAGTGCTGACGGAGAGCTGGTGGCAGGCCAGGTGGCAGGGACAGTCAGTGAGTGGGGCTCCAGGAAGACCATATGTTGGAGACCAAGAGAAAATTATCAAGGGACATGAGTACAAGGCACATGTCCAACAGCAACAAGAGAAGGCAAGGCCTCTCTCACGGTTAAATACTTACTTGGTAAAACATTAAGTGTCAAAAGTAGATGTTATTCCAGTAGTCCATGTTGGCTATCTTGTTGGAATAGTTCATACCTTGGGTCACTGTGCCCTAGTAAACATTATTGTTTTACATCCATTATTTCCGAGGAGGCTTTTGTGATTGTCCCAAGGACCATCTGTTGTCCTTGGGCGTGTACAGGAGTAAAATTTCAACTATGTAGAAAATAGTTGATTGTATGGGTTCTGAGAATAATGGTAGAATCATATGTAAACATATAAATAAAGCAGAACAAAGGCATCAGGCATTGCTCTCGCGTAATATACAAAGTGTCCACCTGGCCCCCATTTCTCTTAATCCTTTAGTCCTTTCGTGTTGCTCTGTTTCAAGACCTGTGCTGCCGTGCTGGACGCGGCAACCATGTTCTTGAAGCCTGCTATAAAAGGGCAGAGATGGAACAGAAAAGAGAGAGTCTAGAAGAAAATGCCCCTCTCCCACAAAAGCAAAAGCTCGTGGGCACCGCACGCACCACCCGAGCTGTGACCTCCGGGCCGTGTATCACAGGGACGTCAATCTGCTTATTTACTGATCACCACACTGCATTGCCTCAGTGATGTCACCTACCAGCGTCTGAATGTCATTTCTACTCTCCCACCTAATAGGGCACAGTACCACTACTCCCTTTTTGAAAACTTGGAAGCTAACTTTTTCTAGGATAAATTTGGAGAAGGTGGATACTGATTGCCCTTCCCATGTCTGGTCCCCTGTGGGGCCTGCAACAGAGAGGGAGTGACTGGATGGGAAGAAGCTGGTTTTCAGAACCAAATCCCACCAAATTATCCTTTGCAGGAAATCAAGCCAATTTTGCGGAGACGCTTCTGGGAGCTCTCTGTGGGCCTTGTTCCCCCCCCCCCCCCGGGTCACAGCAAGGAGAGCAGCCTTGGGCCTCAGGAGGCAATGACCAACACAAACTCTCGGTGGCGGGGCCCCTGTATGACCAGAGCCTGCGAGCAGGTCATCCCTGCGTGGCGGGCACGTTACCACTGCAAGAAGACAAAGAGCACTGTTCCAACCTTACCACGGCTTCCGAGGTGGACGGGTATTTCTGCAGCGCAGTTCTGGGAAGAGTCTGCTCTTGACACAGCAGGTGCAGCTTCAATTTGCCGAACAGAATCTTCAATGGAACCAACAACAGGCCACAACGAGAGATTTCCAGGGTTGAGAGAAATGGAACATTCTGATCAGAGTTAAAGCAACCAGCCAAAGACAATACATCTGATTAGACGTTACAAAAGCTAACATTCTGACTTAGTGCTTCTCTTGGATTTAAAAGCTCTGAATGATGAATGTCAATGTGCTCACTCCTCCTGTGGGACTGTGAGCGACTTGCAGCATTTCCCGATAGTCAGCATAAGATCCTATCTATAAAACTAGACTGCAATCTCCCTCTGATCCCTGGAGAAAAAAAATGCATTTCTTCAAAGAACCAAAATGTCACTTCACCTCTCGGAGCTGGCTGTTGCTTGTTACAAGAAACTGTTCTCCCGCGGCAAAATGAGCTTCTTGTTCCAACTCCTTGAGACGCGACTGTGAATGTGAGAAACACAGTCTCGTCAGTCAGTCTGAGACTGGCTTACTTTTCATCAAATGACTCCCAACCACAACAAAGGCTCTTAATAAAATGAAAATGTCCACAATTTACCAAAATGACAAACATAAACTGGGGAATACTCAGGCTTATGGAATCGCCCTTCCCAAAACCTAAGGCAACAACGTGAAAGACATAAAGATAGGAAATGATATGCCAAACGGTGGGAGGAAAAGCAGAAATTCTTCAGCAGTTCTACAACTGCAAGGAGCGCCACATCACACCAAAGACTTCGGACCGTCCCGAGGCAGAAGAGTCAGGGCTGAGCTGGCTGGCAACCACGGGATGCCAAGCTGGCACCCACCCTCCTCACAAAGGCAACAGTTCACGGGGTGAATGAGATTGCAAAGTTCAGAGAAACCAAACCAAACCCAATGTGGAACCCACCTGGTTCAAAGGGTGGGAAGGGGTGGATGGCCCAGGGGACCCAACCCAACATACTCTTTGAAGGTTCCTCCCCACAGCTCGCAGCTGGTAATGTAGCACTGAGCCCAACAGTAAGGCCTCCTGGACTGGCTTCCCCCTCCATCTTGGTCAGGAGAAAGGCAGAATCAGAGCAGGACTCTGAAGAAATGTAATGAAGGAAAAGTGGGAAACAGGTGACATCGGCCCAGCCTGCAATGAACCACCATCTCCAGTCTACCCTTCAATAGATGAGAAGAGCCTGAGAGGAAAACTCTCAAAGAGGCTGGACCCTGGGTGGGCAGCAGAACTTCCCCATCAGGTTTCCACAGTGGGGACATTTTGGAGGTGGGTTGCCAGCAGGTGCTTGAGTACAGCTGGCCTGCCAACATTTCAATGAGCAGTCGAGCACTTCTTACCACCCAGGGACTCCTCAAAAAATGATAACACCAGGCCCGCCAAAAAAACCACCCACAAACTATCCCTTCAAGTAAAGTACACCAAAATTCTACAAAGAAACAAACAATAAAAACAAAAACAAGGAACAAAGCATTAAAAAGACAGACAGTGACTCCCTTCAGGAATAAGTCGTATCCTAGGAAACTGAAAATTTCTGTAACAATTTGTCTGAACTCAAAAAATGTAAGACAGAAAGGCTCTCAGTTAAAATGGCACAGTAAGTTCGACCTCA